TACACCCTGCATTCTTTGGCAACAGAAGCTGTGGGTCCAAATACCTTCAGCTGAGAAAATAAGATGGCATTTCCCATCTCCTGAACCCTTGTTCCATCAAGGTGGATTATAATCTGTGGAATTAGTCTCTGCCATGCAATGAGGAGGTTTATTTTGAGAAAGCTTTCTGACAATGTCTTATCAGTGGTAAAAAAACCCAGCAACTGGATAAACTGATTTTTCAGTGTACAAAAATTATATGAGGTATGATGAACTTTTTTTTAACCCTTTAGGGAAGGAAGAAAGAGGACAGCCTTGAAAATTCAGTCTTCTAGCTGACCTGAGGGGCTGACAGAGTTCTGTCTCTGCAGCTGCCAGCTCTGGGGAAGCACCATCATGTGGATTACCCTAAACTTGGGCAAGATCAAACTCAAAAGTGGTTTTGCTTCTGCTTATTTTTCGTTAAAGAACTGGGGACCCTTGGACATCTGGGATCTTTGCAGTCTGGGAGATGTAGCTCTTGCTAAGTGTGGACTTTGGGATCCACAGCAGAGAAACAGGTTTTTTTTAAGAATAGCTATGCTCTATCTAATGAAGCCATAAACCCTAAGTCAGAGCAGTGAGCCTGAGGATGGGAGATGTTTTACCAGCCTATGCCAAGTCATGCGTGGCCTGCGTCAGAAAACATGCTGACAAAGACCTGGCCTTTCTCTTTTCCGCACAAGGTCTCAGCCCCCTGCAGGGCAGAGTTGCAGCTGGGAGAGGCACAAATATATCTTGCTGCTGTGCTAAGTCTCATCTTCCCAGTTTTAGGAGCATGTACCTCAGATGTCACTAATTATTAGGCTGGTTAGCTGTAGCTGATCAAACAGGTTTAGTATACTAAGTATCTGCTTGCATTCATGTTATCCTTTTTTTTTTTGCCTATAAACTTGCTGTTAAAACACCAGCAAGTACACATGAACTGTTGTCTTCAGATTCTTCCTAAATGGACAGAAATCAGTGCCCTTATAACCTGGCCACCATAAAAGCTGAAATGCCTTGGTAATTTAAGATAACAAGAATATAATCATATACATATGTCTTTTTTTTTGTCTTCTTGAGAAAATATTAAAGATTTAGATCAAAAAGAAATAAATTATTTCAGTGTGGTTCCTTATACAATTCATGCTATCACTATTAACTGCAATGCAAGACTTTGGCAGCTTCCAAGGACAACTGAAAAAAATAGACAAATAAGCAGGAGAGGATAATCTTGCATACACATAGTGCTTGTGTAGTGACAGATTATAATAAAGCTCAAATAGCATTTACAGCTATTTTGTTGAAGGCCATTATGCATTTAGCTTGAGTCCTTAGATGCTAACCTGTGTTATTTCTTAATACTTGTTTTGCTGATCTGATGTAATGATGATTTTCATTTCTTATCAGAATTGAAAACCTTTTTGGTAAAAGATGATGTACTCATGAACTGAAGATGTAGAGAAATAAACTAAAAAAAAACAAACAACAAACCCCTTTAAATAAAACCCCAGAACAGCTTTTCAGCCTCAAAAACTAAAGCTAATCTAATCACGTCAAAAAAATTGTAAATGTGTGCTGGATTTCAGTCAATATGACTGATTACCCGATTATCTGTCACTTACTGAGTTCTGATTTCTTTTCCTGCTATGTGCTTTGAAACCATCTTTGTTTCAGAAACTCAGAGGCAGCATGTTAGCTCACCTCCAGTTCAGTTTCCTGAATGCTTATTTTTCAGCTTTTGGGGCTGAGTAAAATGTCCTATCAGTCATTTAAGCCTAAAAGCTTCAAGAGCATCATCAGTCATTTATTTTTATCATCCTCATCGAAGCCACTGAACCTGAAATTCTGAGGAACTTTCACATTTTGAGTCACTTAGAAACCATACAGGTGTTATGAGGGAATGCCTGAATGCTTATGCTAAGCTACATAACCACTGTAGCTTAGCTTTCTCTAGTTTTGGATTCTGGGTTTGATTTTAAGTGTAATTTAAGTGTGAAGTGTTGTGTAAGTTAAGCATATCAACTGGCACATGACTTTTGGCCTTAAAAAGAACTTCCTCCCCCCCCCCGCCCTAAAATTTCATTTACAACAGAGTGAAAAATCTTGTCCAGACAATACTCATTGCTACTGGCTTTTCCTATATGTGAAAATATTCTGACTTGCATGCAATATACATCAGTGAAATCAACAAAAAGGCTAGTTGCAGCGTCGTTTTGTAATGCAGCCTGAGGGAAGTAAGGGCTTGCTTCTTTGGTACATCCAATGTAACTCATCTCTTACAAAAGCCAGCAGCAAACTTAGAAAATGCATTTAAAATGGGTTAATGGAAGTGGAAGAAAATATTTTTGTAGGCAGAGAAGTCACATGTGACAATCTACAGAATTTGACAGAACTGTTTGAGCAGCGTAACCAGCTGCTGTGTAAGTTTGTCTGAACTAGTTGTTCCACCATTCCTAGAAGCTGCAGAGAGCAAGGTTTTTAGGACCTTTGGGAGTAAAAGGCTATTGCTCAGGCCTGTTTCGGTATACTTCTGCAGCAAATGGAGGTAATAGTGTATACAGGCAAAATGGACAGTAAAAACTGAATAATGCTAAACTGTCACAGCACGTCCACAGCAAGAAATACTGTCTTCTAGAAAAAAAATATAAAAATATACAAAACTGTCTTTTTGTTGCACTTCATGTGCAGCATATATCGATCATTTCAAATGTGCTCTGTACAAGGATTATATCCTTGGGTAAAAAAAAAAAAAGGTGGTTTTCATGCTATACATTATATTCTCTTGAAGTTTTTCCCTGAGCTGGCAACAAAATACATTATTTGTTTTTATTTATTTTATTCTGAAAGTATATTGTCACACAAGCCCCATTAACAGCTTCCGTATGCACTGAAAATAATATAGGAGGATGATGGCAGTGTAATTACATACTACATCTTCAGAGATCTGATTCTGGCAGAGTTGAAGATTACTTCAGAGTTTCAAATCAATCTGAATGACCCCGTCTTTATTGCTGTTGAATTTCTAGAAATGATGAAATGCCAAGTCATTGAAATAACTGATAAAAGCCTAAACAATCTGAAACGAGTAATGTAGTGTTTCTTTGACTCCATCTAAGTCCCGTATGATTTACAGCAAGGTTCAGTGTTTTACAGAGAAATGTGGTTTTTTTTAATGACTTTGAGTGCTCTTCAGTTCACTAAGAATAGATCAACTAGGCAAAGAAGTAAAACTCCATTATCATATGCTTTTACATTTTACGTTCACTAAAACTGTGGCTGTAAAGAGCAAACACTGCCACAATGATTTCTGTCATCCAATGTAAGAGTCTGTAAAAGACCTGGATATCAGGGCTTAAAGTATGTTGTGGAGACATGGCAAGGTTTGCTTTCAGGTATAATTTGCATACTGACAAACAAGAGGGAGGAAGCAGACAAAACAGATTTTTTTCTGAGGCAATCAGACAATTATACAGTCCAAACTGCTAGCTCACTAAAGAGAGGTTTGCTCCTAATCCAGCAGTGCTAATGTCATTTTCTTCTTCACCTGAATATATTGCAAATCTGAAAAAGCTGACACAGCATGCATTGTGAGGAGATAACAGGCAACAGTGTCTGCTGTTTAATTCAAAGGGCTGGATGTGAAAGTCATCTATCCTGCTGTTACATGACACACAACTTCTCAGAGCCTCATTTTGTGAAAAGGAACTGAACTGATACCAAGCAGAAATCTCAGAGAAATCCCCGATACACCTTCCACTAGTCATAGGTGCCTGTCTTGCTGTACTAGTGGAAAAGAAATGTATATGTCCTCCTATGTGTTTGCATGTAGAGGAACAGAAAAGTCCATTGCCAATGTTTTCCTGCACCAAAGGGGCTGTTGTATGAAAGCTGTTGGAGAATATCCCACGAAAACGAAATCACAGAGGAAGCAAATGCTAGCTGAAGGGCAGGATGAAGCAAATCAAACATCCTGGGTCCACTGAAATCATTTCCAAAAGCTGGTGATTTTGACAGCAAAGGCTGCTGCATGAAGTAAGGTGAACGCTACCTGCTCACTGCAAATACTTGACATAATGGTGTTCACTGCCAAGGTAACAATTCCAGCAAGAAGTACAGCTGAACAGGAAAGGCTAGCACTTCAGTAGCGGTGTATTAGGTCATGGCACAGTATAAACTAAGGCCTGTTGCTACTGATGTTGTTAAAGTGAAGGCTTACTCAAAGTACTTTGCACCTTTTCTTTTAGCTATTTCAACTATTATACCTTTATTTTTTTTTACATAGCTGTTTCCCTGAATGAAATCAGTTTGTCCTCACATATGAGTAGTAAAGCTTATTTTAAAAGTGTGTAATTTTTGTGTTTGGTTGGGGTATTTTTTAACTTCTATTACCACTAAAGGTAAATAAGCTGAAAATGAAGCTCTGAAGAGCTAAAAATTTATTGCTAGCACTGAGATTTTTGTAGGAGCACCCTCTGGTGGCTAATGTATAAACAGTACTCTTTATCTTCCCCCACAAGGAGTTGTACATATAATTATAATGCTACTACAGAAATAGGTGGAAACCCTTTTTCCACCGTATTTTTCCTTTCAACTACTGTGAAATGCATATATATATTTTCCTCAAACAAAATAAAAAATCAGATGCTAAAAGTTTTTAAACATAGGAGGAAATGCTTATAAACATGTACTGTCTACAAGTAGAATTTAATTAAAAAAATTAACCATATGGGTAAAATTAAAGATAGAAATACAGATATCTATTTCAAGAGATAGAGATGATAAGGCCCTTACAGTTGCACTGGACCAAGTTTAGAAACTAGGGAAAATCCTTGGGCAAAACATGCATATCGTTTTGTAACAATTTGTTGGTTTGATCTTATAATTTTATTTGGATTATTTACGTCTGTTTCTTTTGCCCAGTCTCCATGGTTTTAATCAGACATACTATGTTAATTATTAAGAAATTCCAAGAATGACTGTTTACCACTTTATCACAGGTATCTTCCATTTAAAAGTACCTGAGTCCTCTCATGTTGGTTCTGCTATTGGAAGGATCAGAGCTGTGGACCCTGATTTTGGGAAAAATGCAGAAATTGAGTATAACATAGTTCCAGGAGATGGAGGGAACTTGTTTGACATCTCAACAGATGAGAACACCCAGGAAGGAGTTATCAAACTGAAAAAGGTATGTGGCAACGATGGTGTGTTTGTATCCAAGGGAGAAAATAGGTAAGAGAATTAAATGTTGTGCAATTAAAAGTCATAATTAACTCACAGTTGTTTTTATCTTTATTAGAATCTAAGGCTGTGATCTTAGTCTTAAAAGCAATTGTAATTTAGTGATTCATTTCATATACTATCAGGTATGACTTTTCATAAATAATGTCAGTTATATCACCAGAGAAGTCATTCTTATCTTGGTTAAGAAAGTGCAATTTCTCTTTTATGGGAAGTTTTTCACCTAAAACCACATGAAAAAATGTGCCAGATCAGAGCATGGAATGAAAGAACTATATTTTATGTTTGAGATAACCTATTGCATTTTCACTTATAAGAATTTTATTTTGAAAAATTTTATGTTTTATTTTAATAATGAAGCTGTTGTATAGTACTGTGGAGAAAAGAGTTTTTACTTAAGGTAGAGGAGTTCCAAATACTTGCAAATCAACATGTCCTACTTCCAGTCTCCTGATAGTGTTTCAAATAGCTGATTATCAGATACTCATGCAAGGGTGCACACTGCAACTCAGCTGTTGGTGTTCCCTTATTTTACAAGAATAAGTTCAAGGTTACTTTGAAGGTGGAAAGGATAAGTGTTATTTGGAATTCAGTGATTAAAACACTCAGGAGAAATAGATACAAAATAGGGGCTGTCACATTTTAACTAGTGGCTCTTTTCTGAGGCCAGGCATGTACATGTACACCAATCATCAACTTTTTAATTAGAAAGAGATTTGAGCCACCAACTCATTTTGAAAGGCCAGCTTATGTTTCATAGACAGCTCATTCTTGAAGATGTAATTTTTGTAAAATAAACGCATCTAGGAGCTGAACACTTTGCAAGGGTCAAGGAAAGAAAGCGCTCTAGATATGTGCATTAAGACAAGCTTTAGGAATAGAAAAGCTTTATTTTCAATAAAATTTAGGATTTAGGTACTTAAATTTCCTCTGGCTCTAGCCATGGGTTTATATTTGCATTATATTCATTCTAACAATGAAATTCCTGGTTTCAGCCTCTTGACCTGGGAAACACTAAATTATCCATGGGTGTATTAAAGGATCAGATGATGTCAAGCCACTTACTCTTCTGCTAGTTTTAATGACATATGATGGAATCTACAATACCCACAGGAAGTAATTTGATGAGACACAAACTCTTTGCACTTTTCACACACATGCCCCCTCATTTCTGACTAAAAGTTTGAATGTACTGTTTCCTCCTTATGTGAATTTGTAAATTTGTTTCATTTTTAAAAATTATTCTGATCACCTTTTTCCTTCTATGCAGATAACTCAAAAAGAGCTCCACTTGGAACTTTCAGGCTGAGCAGCTGCGTGCCCCTCTGTATGCACTGCCAGTCAGAAACGACTATAAGTGGGAACCATTGAAAAAATAATGTTTGAGCATTTAGAGTAGGATTTGGTAGGATCAGGTTCTCCCTCAGTCCTAAGCCTCGGATGGGCTGCTTGTTTTTATACACAGCAGTGGAACTTTTCCGTACTTGTAGTTAAATGTATATATATTAGACTGCATAGACAAAACTTTCAAATTGGCAATGCAGATTCAAAGAGCATGCGTGTAAAATTTGTTACTGGTAAAGACGATTCACACATGAATCTACTTGATGCAGTTACCTTGGGATGAGCACAAAATGCCTGGCCACTTTTGAGACTGCTGTATGGGGAATTATAAAACAGCTAATTGAACCACTAACTAAGTAAATACCAAAACACACAACTAATTCTGTATCCAGATACTTTAGAGTTGGTCACTGTATTTTGCTGCATTCAGTCTCTCACCTAGAGTATTGTGTGCAGTTCTGGTGTCCTCAACATAAAAAGAACATGGAACTGTTGGAACAAATTCAGAGGAGGGCCACGAGGATGATCAGGGGACTGGAGGACCTCCCATATGAAGATAGGCTGAGAAAGTTGGGGTTGTTCAGCCTGGAGAAGAGAAGGCTGCGTGGAGACCTCATAGCAGCCTTCAAGTATCTGAAGGGGGCCTATAGGGATGCTGGGGAGGGGCTCTACATTAGGGACTGTAGTGATAGGACAAGAGGTAATGGGTTAAAACTTAAACAGAAATTTAGCTCCATCCCTGGCAGTGTTCAAGGCCAGTTTGGACGAGGCCTTGGGTGATATGGTTTAGAGCGAGGTGTCCCTGCCCATGGCAGGGGGATTGGAACTTGATGATCTTAAGGTCCTTTCCAACCCTAACTATTCTATGATTCTATAATATTAGCAAAAATGCTGTTTATATGGAAAAACTTGTAGCTTTTGTAAACTAAAACAACCAACTTTATTCAAACTTATTTTTCTGTATATTATTCTTTTTATAGAAGGAATAAATATTTATTTCCATTGGTTATTTATTTTAAAAAGATATTCCATTGAAATCTGAGTAAATGAAAGAGGTTTCAATAGTGTTTTTTTTTTTTCTGTAAAATCCAAACATTCTGCTATCTTACCAGAACTCCAGATTTTAAATGAAATTATGACTGAGCACTGTCAGACATTCATTATGTAACAGCAAAATATGTCTTAAAGGAAAAAAAAAAAAAGCAGCTAAAAAAATTGTATGTATCACTCATTTCCTTCACAGAGTTTAGTGGTGTCTGCTAAAAAAAAGACATATGAAGAAATGTTATTTTAACATCTTGAAAACTAAAAATCAAAAAGGTTTTGCCTGAGAGCTAGGCATACTTTCAATTCTTCTGTTTTCAGGCATATCAGAAAAATGCCAAAATTTAGCACTATCAATAGCTATCTGTATGGCTCAACTGTTTAAAACTGTGAAGACCAGAACTATTTAGAATATTGTAGCATGGGCTGCCCCTAAACACAGTACATCAAAACCATACCCTTTTGCTGCATGGTATATGTTGTACAAAGTATTTTTCTTTTTGAAATGAAATCCTAGGTTTACTACTCGCAACATTTCCCATCTTTCCACAAACCTTTCAGTTGTAGTTTAGCCTCTCATATGCTATAAGGCTAAATGCTGCTATTTTCATAGAAACGTAGAATCACAGAAGCAGCTAGGTTGGAAAAAAACTTTAAGATCATTAATTCCAACCATTCTGTGGGAGTCTATGACCGATTTCTTTCTCTGATGGTGGCTCAGCACTTTCTGCTTGTCTCTTTGAATGTTGAGTGCATCTGTGCTTTGCACTGGCCACACATTGTTTAACCTCTAACTGTATTTCTCAACAGACCCATAGAAAGACAGAGAGAAAGAACTGGTTTCTCTGATGTTACAGTGGAAAAATTATTTCCTTCCTTGAGGTCAAACTGTCTTTTCAAAAATATACCAGTGTTGCCCGCAATGCTGGGTGTGTGTGTGTGTGTGTGTGTGTGTGTGTGTGTGTGAGAAGTGACACAGTCACTTAATCCATCTTCTGGGTAGCTGTGCAGTAAATTATGCCAGCCTGAACACACTAATACACAGAATTGATTGAAGTTTTATGCCTTGCGGTCCATCTCCAAACAAGCACTCTGTTCCCCTTGTATCATGAAAGTTGTGACTGAGCACTGGCCAAGGACTGTGATCTGGTGATCTGGTACTCCTGCCTTGGAAGGTAACTCGGTGACAGACAGCCTGCAAGGAATGCATGGATCATGGCTCTTCCCTTTAGTACATCTATCTACAAATATACTTCTGTATCACAGGAGCCAATGTGAACAGTTTAAATGCAATTTTGGGATATGAAAGATACATACAAGTCATCAGTTAGAATAACTACCTATTTGAGAGCTTAGATTTCTTGCTTTCTCTGTATTAACCATTTATGTCTAGCTTAGCCCCTCATACTTACATTTTTTTCTACTCCAGACTGGTTCTTCAAACTCTAGGCTTTTTCCTGTTACTATAAGTCTTGAAAATATATTAACAATTTATATAATTAGCTGAAGAAGAGTTTGTGGTGTGGTTTGTATGTTGGGTTGTGTTTGTTTGTTTGTCTGGGGAAGATGTTTTTGGCAAAGTATAATAGTGAACATGAGGAGTATAGAAACTGAAAACAACGTGTCAAGAATTTGGATACCAAAGCATTATGTCCATCTATAGTGATGCCAACAGCTTAGAGTTTAACCACTGGGCCATAAGTTGTTCCACACTTAATTTTGTCTGTTTCTCTCATCATTAGTTTTTAATTCTTTCTGACAGTCCACCCGTGAAAGTGCAAGTCATACTGATTTTTACTGGGAATTTTGTCTGTAGGAGGGTGTTTGTACGTGGTAGTGGATTGGTTAGAATCACTTGACTTTCAAGGTTTTTTTATTTCAATGGCATATAGATTTAGGTGGCTAATTTTAAATTCCTAGCTCAAAAAAACCCTGAGCATCTAGTCTGTTAAAATTATAAAGTCTTTCAGCATCCTCGCAGCTAAATTGAGGAAGTGTGGTCTGGATGATCGGGTAGTGAGGTGGACTGTGAACTGGCTGAAGGAGAGAAGCCAGAGAGTTGTAGTCTATGGGACGGAGTCTAGTTGGATGCCCGTATCTAGTGGAGTGCCTCAAGGGTCGGTACTGGGACCAATATTATTTAATATATTCATTAATGATTTAGATGAGGGAATTGAGTGTTCTATCAGCAAGTTTGCTGATGACACTAAGCTGGGAGGGGTGGCCAACACGCCAGAAGACTGTGCTGCCATCCAGCGAGACCTGGACAGGCTGGAGAGTTGGGCGGGGAATAACTTCATGAAATATAACAAGGGAAAGTGTAGAGTCCTACATCTGGGCAGGAGCAACCCCAGGTTCCAGTATAGGTTGGGGAACGACCTGTTAGAGAGCAGTGTAGGGGAGAGGGACCTGGGGGTCCTAGTGGACGACAGGGTGACCATGAGCCAGCACTGAGCCCTTGTGGCCAAGAAGGCCAATGGCATCCTGGGGTGTATTAGAAGGGGGGTGGTTAGTAGGTTGAGAGAGGTCCTCCTTCCCCTCTGCTCTGCCCTGGTGAGACCTCATCTGGAATATTGTGTCCAGTTCTGGGCCCCTCAGTTTAAGAAGGACAGGGACCTGCTGGAGAGAGTCCAGCGCAGGGCAACTACGATGATTAAGGGAGTGGAGCATCTCCCTTATGAGGAAAGACTGAGGGAGCTGGGACTCTATAGTTTGGAGAAGAGAAGATTGAGGGGTGACCTTATTAGTGTATATAAATATATAAAGGGGGAGTGTCACGAGGATGGAGCCAGGCTCTTCTCAGTGGCAAACAATGATAGGACAAGGGGCAATGGGTACAAACTGGAACACAAGAGGTTCCACTTAAACTTGAGAAGAAACTTCTTCTCAGTGAGGGTGACAGAACACTGGAACAGGCTGCCCAGGGAGGTTGTGGAGTCTCCTTCTTTGGAGACATTCAAAACCCGCCTGGACACGTTCCTGTGTAACCTTATCTAGGTGTTCCTGCTCTGGCAGGGGGATTGGACTAGATGATCTTTTGAGGTCCCTTCCAATCTCTAACATACTGTGATACTGTGATACTGTGATAAAGATTTTAAATCATTATGCTATCTGTTCAGCCAATGTAAGTCAAGAAAGGAAACTTGATTGACTTTAGTGGAGTTACTTCAGTTTATTCAGGTAGTCATCTGGCCAATTATGTCCTGTTGTGATAAGAACAGAAAATGGCAGAATTTAAATCTATCCTGGCTGTGACAAGTGGCTGGAAATACTGTGGTAATGATGGCTAGGGAAAAAAAAAAAAAAAAAAAAAAAAGAAAAGAAGTCAGATGCTGAAATATCCTTGCTCATACACTTGTGATCCTGCTCTTTTTTCCAGATAGCATACCCTTTCCCGTCAGAAAATTTCCAACTTGAGAGTTATCATAGGAAGAAACCACTAGGTGCCACTGTTATATAGACATCAGGAAAAGACTGTCAGCAACGTTAAAAATTTGAAAGCCAAGCAGCTAAGGCCTTTAACTAAAATTAAAGCTTCAATGTCTTTTCAACTAAATAAGACTGCATTAAGTTTTTTGATATGATTACCTTTCTAAAACCAAAGGCACTAAATTGATGTACATTGACAGAAACTTGCAGAAAAACAATCTGATTGCAGGATGCATGTAGATCAAAAACCAAGATGGGTGTACAAAAGGTACTATGCTACCTTGAAGACCTTACGGATTACACTTAGGATTATGAGGCAGGGTAAAAGTCTTCGTTTTTAAGTACACGCAGCTCCACTATATGGTGTGAATAGCAGTTCACTGATAAGATAGACATTTTACAGGAAAGACTTGTTTCAGATCAAGTTTGAAGTTCCAAGCCATACCTGAGGTTTGGCTTGACTCACTGGTATGTACCAGAGGTTTTTTCAGGCTAGTTTTCGTCACTGTCATGATCTTCTGAAAGCTTTCCCTGTTAAAAGAAATGGAAGTCTTCTATTTTGAGGAACTGGATCAGCTAGAGACAGTTGATTGCCTGTGCTTGGGAGTTGTGAATGCAAATATCTGACTAACCTGCACAATAGCTCGTTCGCAAAAGATGAATCTCACTTATTTAACTTTAGACATCTACAATGTAACTGTTTACATCTATGTCAGTCATCCTGATTTCTTTTTCATGTGGAGAAACTGTCATTTCCTGAGTATGATTCATCTAGCCTATTTCAAAAATCACCTTAGCATGAGGTGAACAAATTTAGATGATTAGGTAAGGAGTTGAAGTTTACACTGAAAGCATCTAAGTTGTGTCAACTTAATCCTACCAAAGTGATTCTGTAATGTTTAATTTTTAGTCAAATATGATGTTTTGCTTTTATTCTTTCTACAGCCATTAGACTTTGAAACAAAAAAGGCTTATACCTTTAAAGTTGAGGCCTCCAATCTCCATCTTGACCATCGATTTCACTCAGTGGGTCCGTTCAAAGATACTGCCACTGTGAAGATAAATGTGTTGGATATGGATGAACCTCCAGTTTTCAGCAAGCCTATGTACACAATGGAGGTTTATGAGGATACACCTGTGGGGACCATTATAGGTGCAGTGACTGCACAAGACCTTGATGCTGGCAGCAGCTCAGTTAGGTAAGAAAGCTTTTCCTCCTTCAGTAACTCTCAGAGAACCCAAAGTGAAGCTGACAGTAAGAATTGTTGGTTCAGAGCCGAGTAAGAAGGTATAAAATATTCCAAGTCTGTCACTCTAACAGCTAACTGATGGTCTGAAAAACATTGAAAAGAGATTCTTGTTTGGGTGGGTTATCTGGAAAAACACATGAAGCTTTTTATCATATAGATCATGTAAGTTACTGTGCACTGACGGGACTTCAGAGATGGAGTGCTTAGACTAAGGAAGTAAAGACATTGTTTTGCCTGGTTTCTGGGGCTTCCACAAAAGTGTCTTTGAAGTACAATACTGAAAAAGGAGGTTACACATGTTATTTCTATGTTATATCTCAACGGGTGACAGTGAGCACTGTCCCTTTCATAAGAACCACTTCCTGTCTACAAATAGCAAAGAAACATTTTTTTTATAAGTAAATGCTACATCTGTCTTGGCTACAGCTGTGAGGATGTGATTGCTGACCAACATCATTGTGTTCAGCTGATTTCAGCACAAGTAAACCCCTTAGTTACTGGTATAGCTTATTTTCCTGAAATAAAAGGAAGAGGGGAACTGTTATAAAAAATGTATTTCCAGTCACATTAGAAACTATAAAGTGAACCTTACTCATGTACCAATAAGGAAGCTCCTGCATGGACACAGTCTAAGATGTAGGTAATCATTACACACACTTCCAGTACCAGTTCACATTGAACCTACCTGACTTCAGAAAGTATTTTTATTCCAGACTTTCATGAGAAATATTGTAGACATAAAGGAAGTAATCAATCTTTAAGTATTAATGTTTATCAAATGGGACCGTGACAGAACACAAAAATGCAACTACTGTCTACCAGGTGCATACACATTCATTAATTTCTTAATAGAAATTCAACTGAACATTTTAATCCATGTTTATTAATTATGTGTATTTTGACTCTACTTATATTCTCAAAATAAACATGCTAGATGATATGTTGTAATAATACTTAAAAAATTAGCATATAGCAGTGACTGTGTATCCCCTCTTTGTCAAGTCCCTGTTAGTTCTTGCTTACAACTATTACTAATGTTTCATTCACTACTTGTTTTTCAATACATTCTTCATTCTTTTCTAATACCAAAATGTATTTGTTCATGAATTTGTGACACATTCTTTCTCTGACAAAGGATCAAAACCTTCGCTAACAAAGATTGACGTGAAAACCTTTTCCTTGGTGGCAGCCTATGAAAATAGCCATACTAAAGTCAATATTCTGTTGAAAACTATATTTTCTTGCAAGTAGATAGCAAGCCTTTAATCATATTGTTGAGCAGTTTTTCATATGACAGCAGAATCATTTGAATGCATAACCACTCCTCAGTGAATTTTTATTTTATGTCACAAATTCTCCTAGGAGACTCAAGAGCTCTGGTTACTGATCCTGTATTTGCAACTACACAAGAAAAATTGTCTCATGATGGTTTCTTCACAGACCGCACTTACTATAGTAGTACAAGTAGTATAAGCCATTTTAAAGTGTTCATGTCTATCTTTTTTAACCATGAAACCAGTACTTTGGTGTCTAAATGCCCATCTATTTATAAAATACCCTTACAGTTTTGTCTCACTGATCTACTTGCTGACATCTTAACATCAACAGTGCTCCCAGACTCACTTCTAATAAACCAGTTCAGCTGGTTCCTGCCCAGGGAAACACATGATATGTCCCAGTATTATGAATTTCTCAGAAGGACCTGTTTCTACCCACAAATAAGCTACACATTGAATTCAGTGGACTTGGGAGGAAGACAAGTTTCTTTAAGGAGAGGGATGTGCTCCAGTAAGCCAAGACCTACTGAGAAGATTAAGTTGGAAACCTCCCCATACAGCTCTGTCTTCCAGCTGTCTAAGATCACTTACTTGTATCAATTTTCATATTTCAGTCCTGAAATCTCTTCCTCATCTCTTGTTTACCTGAGGATATATTTAATTCTCTGTATTCAGCTTGATTTCCAGCTCTCTGAATTCAATTATAAGGTTCTTACTAATTTATCAGCAATCTGATGATACTTTTATTCTCTGGAAGAACCTAACTGTGTCCAAATGCTGACTAGTCCAGGCAGAAAAACAAATTCTATGCAATCGTTAGCTACTAATGTATTATTCTTCAATATTCCATAAGTTTTATATACTTCAACTGGGAAGAAAAAAAGAAAAAAGAGTGCATGACTAGAGGTTAGGAAAGCATAAATTAGTTTGAAAGAGTTGCATGTGATTACAACTCCTTAATGTATCTAAACAAGTAATGCTTTCAGCTGTTTGTTTAAACTCTAGATTGTCTCATAGATGCAAAGAATGCTCTATCAATTTCATCATGCTTCAAAGAAGAAGTCTGAGTGTCTGAGTAAATATGCCCTCCAAACAAGCACAGAAAAACAAGTAATGTTCTTTGGAGGCAACAGCCCATACAATTTGCTGGATGGCACAGTTTCTCTACAGATTCATTCATTTTCTCTGAAATGTTTTCCTAGAGCAGTTGGACATTAAGATGTCCATTACAACAACAATAAAATCAACAATCTGCCAAATAATAGATACTGGGATAAAATCTGCACTGTAGATAACAGGAGGCAAAACTTTTGAGAACAAAGCAGGCTAGAACAGTTCATATGAATGGAAGCATCACTGCTCACAACAACCAAATCCATGTTATCAGACAAAAACTTCAGCTCTGTTATGCTAGTCGCATCAGGAAGGGGGAGATAACAGCTAAGAATGAAGACTGGATTCAGCTGGTTTTTAGAAAATATTTTCTGAAAGCTGCTGAAAATTGTGAGGATTATATTATGTTTCTCTTTGTCCTGTTACTGAAATCAAGCTTTTGGACATGTCAGGAATTTTAAAAGGTTTCTTTGATGGAATATATGTTAGATATCAAGTTAGAGAACTTGAAGTGAAAGGGCACAGAGAACACATTCAGTAAGAAACAGGAAACTAAGCTCAAGGAGAAAAGGGGCTGCAGGTATTCAGCTCCTGCAAGGGTGACTGGCTTTTAAGCTGTTTTGGAACATTACCCCAAGTTCACCTAATTTTCAAACTGTGTTAAATCTGGAGTTGATGTCTCTCAGGAGTGCTATTTTGTCTATTCCCATTTTATCCATAATGCCGCAAGAAATGCTCAGCATAATGTTAAGATGAAGTCCTACGTACTTTGTGGCCATTAAACATCCCAAAGCAGTTCTGAAAAGAGCAATGATCTCATGTTCTTCTCAGACTTCCCTAGTTTATGATAGTGACAAGGTGTCTGCGACGAAAAAAAAAAAAAGAAGGCAACCAAACACCGACGTAACAATGTATGTAACTTGTAAAAATGCAATTGGTTGTAGTAAAGATCCTTGTATTTGTGGTAAAAGGAATTTTAGGACTTCCTAAAAATTACTTTTATATGTGTACATACAGCATGAATGTTATAAACAGAGCTGTTTGTTTGAATTACGAGAAAGTGCAAATGTATGGCAAGACTGAGTTACCTGCAATATCTTCTAGAATAGTGAGCTTTATCTAACAATGTGTGTGAAGTTCAAAAACTTTGCACTGACACCTTTGCAGTTGTAAGATTTCCTTGTAGGTGATCCTCTGGCATGAAGCATGAACGGATTATTGTCCCTGATGTGAAACCCAGATATGACTCCAATTACAATGAGCTTCATACTCTGTGTCAACAGCACTGCCCTTCAGATCTTACCTGCTTGACTCAGAAGTTTTGCCCTATGAATCACAAGAACCACTCAAAGCAAGAAAGCTGTGCAGACTGTGCATTTTACTGTCCAAGTCCAGCGTCATGGAACCATGATATTAAAGAAATAAAAAAGTCATGTGTACTAGTCACAGGTCAATACTGCCCTCACTGTCTTGAGGACAAGACTGTGTCCCTTGCATGTGCTTCTAAAGAAAAATCCTTATTTGTTTTCTGAACTAGTTCACAGTGATCCAGAAACTTTCATAAATAGGTTCTGTTTTCCCAATGCATGTTTATAGAATCATAGAATAGTTAGGGTTGGAAAGGACCTTAAGATCATCAAGTTCCAACACCCCTGCCATGGGCAGGGACACCTCACACTAAACCATATCACCCAAGGCCTCGTGCAACCTAGCCTTGAACACTGTCAGGGATGAAGCATTCACAGCCTCCCTGGACAACCCATTCCAGTGCCTCACCACCCTCACAGGAAAGAATTTCCTCCTTATATCCAATCTAAACTTCACCTGTTTAAGTTTGAATCCATTACCCCTTGTCCTGTCACTACAGTCCCTAATGAAGAGTCCATCCCCAGCATCCCTATATGACCCCTTCAGATACTGGAAGGATGCTATGAGCTCTCCACGCAGCCTTCTCTTCTCCAGGCTGAACAGCCCCAAATTTCTCATCCTGTCTTCATATGGGAGGTGCTCCAGTCCCCTGATCATTCTTGTGGCCCTCCCCTGGACTTGTTCCAACAGATCCATGTCCTTTTTATATTGAGGACACCAGAACTGCACACAATACTCCAAGTGAGGTCTCACAAGAGCCGAGTAGAGGGGCAGGATCACCTCCTTCGACCTGCTGGTCATGCTCCTTTTGATGCAGCCCAGGATACAGTTGGCTTTCTGGGCTGCAAGCACACACTGCTGGCTCATGTTCATTTTCTCATCGACCAGCACCCCCAAGTCCTTCTCTGCAGGGCTGCTCTGAATCTCTTCTCTAAATGTATCATGTAAAAATGAAGATAGTATAAATTTTATCATGTAAAAATGTAGATAATATAAATACTGGGTTTAGTTTCTGAATCCTTAAACTCTTTAAGTAAAAGCATGGACAAGATTAATCAATGTTAGATATGTAACAGGAAAGTGCTTGACGTTTTTTTGTGCATTCACTTTATGAATGTTTTTTCTTCAGGAAGAAAAGCACCATCTTTTGATATGAAAATATATCTTATACTTGTAAACTTACATTCATAC